GTAAAATTTTAACAGTACTTCAGTATTTTACTTATACTAAATATAGGCTCAAAGATACACTAGTCAAAGCAGAGGCAAGGATCTATGTGCAGGTATTTCATGGAAGAACTAGAACAAACAATAAGTCAAAAACCAAAGGGAACAAAGAACAGAATGACTTGCAAACAGATAACCATTACATTTAACAACTCACAAGGAACTAAAGAAAAACTAGGGCTATATATACACAGGGGGCTAACAAGCTTAACAAGATAAGACGCACCTGGGGAGACTAATCAAGGGGAACCAATGAACAAACGGACTACAAACACCATGGGAGACAGGAAGTGACATAAAAGTCCAGGGCAAGACACAGAGAGCATGAAACAAAAACAAGAAAGAGTTGATTTGTGAGGAGAGTAATCATGTTTATTTTCTAAAACCAAAATAAAACTGAACACCTCAAAATTACAAAACAAAACAAACAAACAAAAAAAAACATCTTTCAAAAAGTTCTCTTGAGTATATGTAAATATATAAATAAAATAATGTTAAGTCAAATAAAAAAGCCGAAGCCTTCTTGCACTTGCTGTGCTGGTTTGGGCCTCATTGCCAGCTGCAGTCATGTCCTCATCTCATATATAAAACACCTGTGATTCATAAATACTCGCATTCACATAAAGTAGCCTTGTTGAAAGGTTTGGGTGAGTAAGGGCAAAACGCACAAGATGCAGTATTTTCAGTGACCTGTAATAGGCAGTATCATGTCACGTTTTGTAGCAGAAATAAACTGCTGCAGAAAAAGCTAAGTCCATGCAAAATGTAATGTGTAACTGCAACACTCATTTCAAATGTAGTGGAGTAAAGAGTACAGATACTCATTCAAAAATGTAGTGAAGTAGTGAGTAAAAGTTGCTAATATCTTTGATACTCAGTACAACTACAAAGTATCCAAAAAGATACTCAAGAACAGTAACTAATTACATTTACTCCAATACTTTACACCTCTGGTCTTTCTTGTCACTTTTGATCAGCTTAATTCATGCTTTCTGAAAATAAATATACATATGGTATATGTATGTGTGTGTGTGTGTGTGTGTGTGTGTATATATATATATATATATACACACTCTAAAAAATGCTGGGTTAAATACAACCCAGCGCTGGCAAAAATATGGACAAACCCAGCGATTGGGTTACTGCCCAGAATGTTGGGTTGAACATTTAACCCAACTGTTTGTTGAAAACAACCCAATCACTGTTCGTCCATATTTAACCCAGCATTTTTTTAGAGTGTATATATATATATATATATATACATATCTATAATTTAATTTTTTATATATTTGTATGTGACCTATAATTTGTGAGTGACATAAATGCAAACAGTTAGACAAATAGAATTTATAATCATTTTCATTATTTATTTATTTGTGAACCTGGCTTATAAATCTGGCAGGGTCACATGCTCAGTTTGAATGAACATGACTCTTCTGCCTGCACCATTACATGCTGTTTAATGCTTTATGTTACTCTTTTCAGGAATGCTGAACTTCCTGTCTCATTCTCAGTGGTTCACTGGAGCTGTCGATCAGGCCTCAGAGTCCTTACGTATGAGCAACACGGCTGCCAAGACACCCATCTGTCCAAACAGGTTTATAGAGCGAGACTGGCAGCATTACAGACTGAAGCTGATTATTGATCACTGATCAGATTTCTTTGCATTCAACACTTGTCTGCACTGGAGGAGCTACTGGCTGACCGAGCTGCTGGCCAACATCTCCCTCTCTTTCTCTCTCTGTCCTCTTTCCTCACCCTCCCATCATCTGTCTCTCTTTTACTCTCTAGAGAGGGGTAACCCAGATTTCAAAAATGAATTGCTGCCTATTTCTCTTCATCTACTCCCTCCTTTTCCCTCTCTCTCTCTCTCCCTCTCTCTCTCACACACACTCTCTCTCTCTCTCTTTCTCTCTCTCTCTCTGTCTCACTTCACTTCATACCCTCTTTCTGTTGGTAAAAACAGAATCAATCTTGGAAAGTGAAAATTGCCTATTTTCCTCACCCCCTCTATACTCTGTTGGATAAAGGAATATACGGCCATACACTCCTTCTCTCTTTCCTGGAAAGCTGCTGTATCATCCTCCCCTTCATTCTTAATTTCCTTTTTGGGCTTTGATTATTTTTTCAGGTGTGTTTCCTTTCTTGTAGACCTTCTGTTCGGTGAGGTTGTCTTTTTTTTTCTTTTACTTTTTTATGAGCCAAGGATTGATTGCATAGAATAACAAGAGCCTTGAGAAGAAGTGAGAGGAAGAGAGGGGAGGAAGAGGAGAAACCATACTGCCACACTTACAGGTATTTACAGGTTTCTTAGATTTAAAGTTTAAAATATTTAAAGTTTTCTTTCTTTCTTTCTTTCTTTCATAAACGTAGTCTGTGTCACTCATTGGTGGATGTGCTAAATTCTTTGTTTCCTTTCTTCAGTCTCCAGCTCTGTAGATCTGCTCTTTAATTAATGTGATGATCATTTGTTCAGTGTTGTCTCCTGTTTGGTTTGATCCTGTGCGTTATCATTCATTTCAGCTTTTCTCGATGCATTTTCTTTTATTAATGTGAGTCTGATCGATCCTAAAGCACTCCACTTCTGACTGACCTCAAACTAGCCAAGAAACAGCAGTCAGTTTATATCACAGATGTTTAGATGTATGCCTTGTATATTGCTTTTGTCATTTTAATAATAAAAGATATTTATATATACAGTATTTATAGTATTACTTTAGTGAAAATATAAAATATAACACCAGAACTGTATAATAATATAATTATATTTAATACATATACATTTATATAAACACACCTAATATATATATACACTTATTGTTTTGCCATTTTAATAAGAATTCCACAATTGAACAATACTAAACCAAAGCAATACAATTACAAAAACAATTTAAAAAAATTATACTATATTATTTTATATTATATATTTAATAAATTGTATAAAAAAAGAATGTGGGGAGACAATGAGCTTGCAGAAAATGTGGAAGAGCAGGTGGTGGGAATCTGGTTGACATGGAGAATGTAGGGTGTGTGTGTGTGTGCGCGCGTTTTTGTGACAAATGAGGACATACATTTGTATAATGACGAAGGTATGACATAGGTATTACAAGGAGAAGGTGACTTTTCAGGACATTACCCCATGTCCCTACTTTTCAAAACGCTTATAAATCACACAGAATGGAGTATATTGAAAATCTGAAATAGCACAAAGTTTCCTGTGAGGGGTAGGTTTAGGGGTAGGGTTGGTGTAGGGCAATAGAATATACGGTCTGTACAGTATAAAAACCATTACGCCTATGGGATGTCCCCACTTTTCACAAAAAACAAACCTGTGTGTGTGTGTATGTGTTTGAAGTAGGTCAGAAGGTACACTAATCGCTATGCGTTTTAAGTCCCAGTGGAAGTTTCTCTTAGAATGTGTATTAACCTCTATTTCACTCTCCGTTTCTCACCCTCCCTTTCCTCCTCCTGGGAATCTCTTCCTTTCATTTCCTCAACATCACAAACTGAACTGCCATCACATCCTATTGAATTCCTTCCTTTACGTTCCTCGTAACCTCTTACGCTTGATCTGTGTTTTACCAGACGTTTTTCTTCTCCCCGTTTAAAAATCATCTTGTTGGTCCTTAACCCCTCACTTGCATAACCCGTCCATCCTTCTCCCAGTCTTCTTTTCTGTGTCTTGTTCTCTCCAACCCAACTGGTAGCATGTCTACCCCGGTCTCTCCGTCTCCATCTCTGTCTCCCCTGGCCCTGTCCTCCCCATCACCCTCCTCCTCCCCGCTCCCCTCTCCTCTTTCTCCTCCCCCCAAGCTGCCAGTCTTCCAGAGGAAGGGAGCTCTCAAGCACAAGAGGGTCATTGAAGTGAAGGACCACCAGTTCACAGCTCGATTCTTCAAGCAGCCTACTTTCTGCAGCCACTGCACTGACTTCATCTGGTACTTCACACCTTTAACACTGTTGGCCACATCTATAACTCCTAACATTATTATGCTGTAAACCGATACTTCTACCTTAACCTTTATGCTGGACTGCATTTATGTATTGATTTAGTCCTAAAATCTTAATGTCCATATCGTGATTCATAGCATAACTCACTTTCAATGCTGTACTGGCCTTGTCATGTACTTTGTAGTTTATACTGAATTGTTATAATCTGAAGCCTCTTCAAATACAGTTAACCATAACACTACATCATTATTTATTTATGAAAAGACTACATTTTAAAGTGATGAGCATTTTTTTTCTTTCAAATCTTTTTTGTACTACACTGTTTAAGTTTTGGGTCTGTGAGACTTTTTATGCTCACACAGACCACATTTATTTAATCAAAAATACAGTAAAACTAGTAATGTTATGAAATATTTTTTAACATTTCAAATAGCTGTTTTCTAATATAATGTTTTTATATGTATGTAATTTCTTTCTGTGATGGTAAAGCTGGTTTGATCCTTCAGAAATCATTCTAATATGCTGATTTGGTTCTCTAAAAACATGCTGAAAAAAGTTGTGCTACTAAATATTTATGTGGGGAATATGATACCATTTTTGCAACATTCTTTGATAAATAGAAACATTTTTTAAATTTAATTTATATAATAAATATAATATAATAAATAAAACAATGTAAATGTCTTTACTGTCACTTTTGATCAATTTGATTCATCAATGGAGAATAAAAGTATTAATTTCTTTAAAATATATATATCTAACTGACCCCAAATGTTTGAATGGCGGTGTATGTACAAAAATGCGATTTAAAAAATTGCTATCTTCCAATAAAGCATATTTCCAAATAAACCATACTAAAATTTAAACCTAAATAAAACTTAATCAGGTTTATACTTAAAGAAAAATACCGTAAGAATAAGTAATACACTTAATTCAACATATTTGTGTAAATAAGTCGATTTATCTATAAATATTTATATAATTTACTAGAAAACAAGACTAAAGAACTCAGTTGACATTTACAATGAGTACACTTTCGATGACATACACAGAGAGGGCAGAAGAATACTGTCCTGAACGTGTGTTACATGACTACGCTTGTTCTCAGTTTCCTCCATGCCTCATAAAACTCATGCCCTGAGGGGCCTCTTAAATTATGCAGTCCTCTCTGTTTGAGCTGCCATTTAACCACAAGCTCCACAGAACCCGCATAGAACTGCGGCCGGCCATATGGCCCATGCATTGCCCACTTATAGACCTCATGTTCATCAGTACAACTCAAATAGCTTCTGATAGATGCATCTGTTTCTCATTTCATCCATTCATTTCAATTCATTGAAGTTTTATTGCTATCTGTCTATTGGAGTACAGCATTTCCAAAGTATTGTTAAGTACATTTATTTGTTTTTTAGCTTTATAATTTTCACGAACTCAAAGTACTCCTAACCTATTATATGTCAGTGGCATGAGTACCATCAAAATGTTTAAGTAGATTTTTAAGGAGAAAGACTGAAATGAAATGTCATTACTATTCCAAATACTGTAGCTGTTTTCTATTTTAATGCAGTATGTTTTAAAGTATAATTTACTGTGATTGCAAAGCTGCTGTTGTTAGTCCAGTCTTTAGTGTCACATTATCCTGCAGAAATTATTCTAATATGCTGATTTGGTGCTCAAGAAACAATTCTTATTATTATAAATGTTGAAAACTAGTGCTGTCAAATGATTAATCGTGATTAATCACATCTAAAATAAAAGTTTTTGCTTACATAATATATGTGTGCGTGTACTGTGTATTTTTATTATGTATATATAAATACGTATGTGTATATTTAAGAAAAATATGTTTTGTTTATATATTAAATATATTTATATATAATGTAAATACATGTAAATATTTTCAAAATATATACTGTATGTGTGTGTACTGTATTTATATATATATATACAGTGGGTACGGAACACACACACATATATTATGTAAGCAAAAACTTTTATTTTGGATGTGATTAATCGCGATTAATCGTTTGACAGCACTATTGAAAACAGTTGTGATGCTTGATATTTTTGTGGCAATCATGGTAGACTTCTAGCATTCTTTAATGCATACAAAGTTTAAAAGAACAACATTTATTTGAAATATATTTTTAGTATATTTTTAATAAAGTATAGGGTGAATTTAGGTCATTTTTTGACATTGAGATGATTGTGTGACTGCGGACAAATTCACCCAAACTAACCCTACAGTAGAAAATTCACTGCTGAATCCTATTAACTTGAATCCTCTTTTCCATCTCTCTGTCTCTTTTCCCTTGTCCTGTCTCAACCTATATTTCTGAGTATATGTTGATGTTAATTGGTCTGAAGGATGCTCTTAAAGAGTCGTATATACACTCAGATGCATTTCAGAGCAGATCATGCCCAAAGTGTTGGGTGTCAAAGTATCTTATTTTAGCACTTGAGGGATTTATGCTAAGTTGTGTTTTGCATAGCAAAGATTTCAGGAGCAGAGCAACCTGTTATTATGGTGAACTGAAGAGCACTTAAAATGCCCGTCAGATGAGGATTTCTTGAAATTACCTTATCTGTCATGGCCTCGGCAGCTTATGTCTTCTGTTTGCCCTCTGTGCTCATACACATACTGTACACAACACCACAGCTCTCTATGATCTCCTCTTTTCACAAATCTATTTAATTACACACAATATAATTAGACACATGATATGAGTTGTTGTTTATGTTTTACAGGGGAATTGGAAAGCAAGGATTCCAGTGTCAAGGTAATAATTTTGGAATGTATAACACAATTTACCATTTTTAAATTCATTCCACAGATTCATTTATCGGCAAAGTTTTTTTTCAGATCTTCCTGCTCATCTATAGCAGTGTTTCTGTTTTTCATGAGCCATTCATTTTATTGGCTATTTATGAAATAAGTATTGTTAATTGTTATAATGCATGAAGATCCAAGGATGTAACTAAATATTCAATATTTAAATAGGGCCAAATTTAAAGTGTAAGGCTCTTTCATTGAAAAACCCATTAATTTGATGTGAATATTGGGGGAATACATGTCCCTCTCAGTGTCTATTGTGGTTATGGCCCTGTGAAGATCCGAAAGTGATCTTTGACGATAGGTAAGATGAGGCAGCAATATCTGAGCAAAGCCATTTTTTGACCCGAGTTCAAGTCCCAGCTTGTGGTCCTTTCTGATCCCGTTCCCCTCTCTCTTTCTCACTTCACTTTTTGTCTGCTCTCTTTACTGTCCTGTAGTCAAAAATGCCAAAAAAGGGTAATAACTTTAAGTCAGCATGAACAAGTCACCCTTTCTAAGTGCATGTTATTGATCTTTTTGTAAATGTTTCATTCATGTATGTTTAATTTTTTTTATTTTTTACCTCATAATTTTTTGTTAAAATATAATCATTTAGTTCAGATATGCCTCCATCCAATTAATAACCGATGGATTGAACAAAGTCCTTGCCCTGCATTTTTCCCCGATAATCCATTTCAAAATAAAATTTAAAAAGACCTGTAGCAATATAACATACTCCCTCTATTTAATCCCACTATAACAGTGTATTTTACTAACAGCTTGCACCACTGCAAACCTTGTCTACTGCAAACTACTATCAGCAAGCAGTGAAACATAAGCGATGAAAAGGTGTGGAGACAGCTGACCTGATTGCATATGCATTTGTAGGAGTTTCTCTTTCAGAAGCAAATTTTATGGGAGGAGAGTGTTTAAGTGAATCATACAAGGTGATTTACTAAGGTTTCAGGGTTCATACGCAGTTTGGAAAAGTATGGAATTTGATCTGAGTAATTCCCAGGTAATTTCCAGGTTTCATTTTCTTCATAGTAAGATGGCAGCGATGTACAAAGGAAATAGGTTATGTATACTGTATATACACAGTATAAAACTAGAAATTGTAATGCGTAAGCATGCAAGAAAAATTCCAATACGCATTTCTTGAGGGCACAAAAAAATATTATTTTTAAGAAAGTTTTTTAGAGGCTCTGTATGTTTTCACTTTGAGAAAATCAATATGAGAAAATATTTACAGGTGACTGTACTATATACCAAATATAAAGATGAAAATAATGCTCCTATGAATCATTTATGTTAAGCATGGTCTGAAAATCTACTGAGACATTTGGCCATTTGAGTCTGGAAAAGTATGGCATTTTGAGATGGAAAATGTGTAGGAATCCTGAGGTTTGCGGTAGTCAGTTTACTGGTATTTATGCTATTATTTAACTCCTAAAAGAAGCATGTCTTCATCCATTTTGCGCCAATGTGATTATCATCAGCTCTGCTTGTTTGCGAATTTGGGCCGGTCTTGGTAGAATGCATTGGTCATTATGGAAATGATCTGGCTGCGTCTGTTTTCTTTAATTTGAGGATTGTCAGTAGATCACCCGCAAAATTTTCCACTCTCATTGGCGGTTTTATGGGATTGCGTTCTCGTGCTAATTTGACCTATTTAGTAAATCTTGCCCATAATATTTCTGATTAAATTCTGAAAAATGAGCTTTTCGTTGTAAATGAATAATCTCCTATAAGCCATTAGCATATGAAATATTAATGTAGTGTGCTACCATATAACTTAATAAACCTTGATGACTTGCATGTGACACAACAGAAATGCTTTACTAGATATGGTATGTTTCTTTCAGTCTGCAGTTTTGTGGTGCACAAACGCTGCCATGAGTTTGTCACTTTTACTTGTCCCGGAGCCATCACTACTCCCAAAGCAGAGGTATGTATGTACTGTGAGTGTTGTTCTCTGTTAATGTATACAGTATGTCATCTTTTTGCCATTTAGCATTATTTTTTGTTTTGTTTTTGTCCTTTAATTCTACGTTATTTTTCTTTTCCTTTCATTATTTTGCTTGATCATCATATAACTCTTTTTTTCATGCTTGATGTTCTGCTATGATCACTGCAGTTCATCTTTTATTCTACTGTATCATCCGTACCCCATCTGTCTCTCGCCTCTTCATTTTCACATTTTTGCATGGCAAGCCATTTATTTTTTGGCTGAGTAAGCCAATATGGAAGTAGGTCTCACCGTCACACTCATCTTTTCCTTTTCTTGACGAGCCTTTTATTGCTCTCTCTTGCATTCCTTCTTTAAAAGAGGAGGCTTTAAAGGAAAGAGAATATCAATTTTCTCTCTCTCTCTTGCACTCTCTTATTCATGCTACGCTACGATAAAACGTGCAGGGGATGTGATATGATGGTGTTACACTACTACTCACACTCACGTAGTGCAGAGTGGGTGTAAGAATACGTGTGAAAGAGAAAAGCAAGGAAGAGGCTATATCGTAACACATTTCCATTGTTCCAAATCCTAGTTAGCAGCCTATGTAGGCAGCTCTTTTCAACAAAGGCATCATGGACCACTTCCAAAGGCCGTTTCAAAAGGCAGACAACTTAATTTTGCTGCCTGCAAATATACTTTCTTTTGACATCACATCCCCACATCTTTTGTGGGGAAAGCATTGTGACAATGATTATGATGAACTGAGATAAAGGTTGATTATAAACCTACTGTATATTTCATTCAGTACAAAAAGTGATGAAAAATAGTTTGCATAGTTAAAAATTGAGTCTTTTACCCAGTAGCTGTGTCTGAGCTTATTAATATAATATAATATAATATAATAAATACAAAAGAATCCCAAAATCCTTTTTTTTCTGGACTCATTTTTAATGGTTAAATTAAATTTTATTAGTCAAAAAGCATGTCTAATTAATTAAAATCATGAAACTTAAACAATTTAACATCAATTTATTAAAAGTTTAACAAATATTACACCTTTATGGCCCTATGAAATGTTTTATTTTTTCCAACCTTATGTTTTATTGTT